TATAAAAGACATACAAAAATGTATTAATAAAAATAAAAAGATTTGTTTTGTAAAATTTGGGTTCAGTCAAAAGGCCACACTTAAGGACCTACAAGGCCACATGTGGCCTTAAGGCTGCAGTTGCCCCACCCTTGTTGTAGAGTTCATCACCACAGTCATCATTTAGCTAACTACCTCTCTCACTCCCAACAGTGTAACAGCAAACCTTTCCTTCTTGAACTCGTTCTCTCCCACACCGCACATACCCGATCTGAAGGTTCATGAAAAGCCAATAGGACAGAGCACTAAGGGGATTTGTGATTAATGAAAAGGCCCATCTGGATACTCCAACGTGGATGCGCTATGGATACCACTCCTTCCTTTTTATTACATCCCTTCCTTCCCTGTGTTTGTGCCATAGCTGTATATTTGGACAGATACACTTATAAATGTAGGAATTGTTGTCTTTCAATAAATACTATATACACCCCCTATAATGACAATTCAATAAATACAGTCAACAGGACAGAATCCTCATATGACTGTCTCACCACCAGGTGGCACATGCACTTGTTTTCAGTGAGAAAATTCAGGTTTGTCCTGGTTTCTGTCAGGGTTTGGCCGTAGAGAGCAAGAAGCTGACATCAGTCCGGGCGCGGTGGCTCACACCTGTAATCCTAGCACTCTGGGACGCCGAGGCGGGCGGATCCTTTAAGCTCAGGAGTTCAGCCTGAGCAAGAGTGAGACCCCATCTCTACTAAAATAAATAGAAAGAAATTAGCTGGACAACTAAAAATATATCGAAAAACTTAGCTGGGCATGGTGGCGCATCCCCGTAGTCCCAGCTACTGGGGAGGCTGAGGCAGAAGGATTGCTTGAGCCCAGGAGTGTGAGGTTGCTGTGAGCTAGGCTGACGCGCCGGCACTCACTCTAGCCAGGGCAACAGAGTGAGACTCTGTCTCAAAAAAAAAAAAAAAGTTGATATCATTCTCTTCTTTGGCTGAAATTAGATCTGCCAATAATTTATGGCCTGGGATTGTTCATACAAGGGTCTGATAGCAATTGCAATCATTATGCACAGCCTCACACCTCCACTTCTGATCTTAAGGTTGTCCTTCTCGTTAGATTTGCTTCTGATGAGTCCTGAGAGCCTCCCCCTTTCCCTCACACACAGACAACACAGACAAGTATTTGCTTTGGTTTCAATGACCGTAGCAGAGTGTATTTTCCAAAGATAGTCACGACAATCCCCATCCTACGTGCTATTCTACAATGTAACTTTGCCACTGCCCCATCAATAGGTAGAATCCAATTCTCTCCCCGTGAATCTCGGTGGGTCTGTGATTCGCTTAGAACCAACAGAATACAACAGAAGTGATCTTGTATGACTTCAGAGGCTTCACAACTTCATCCTTTTGCTGGAAGATTTGCACTGGAGCCCTGGGCCGCAAATTAAGCAGTGAGACTGTCCTGCTATGCAGAAGCTCAAACTGGCTTGCACCATGTGAAGAGAGAAGCCACCATCTCCACTTGATCCCAGCCCCTCTGTTCCAGCTTCAGCCACCATGAGACTACACCTGCCTGAGAAACCCTAGCCAGAGCCCAGCTAACCTCTTCCCAAATCCTCACCCACAGAAACAGATTTTTTTAATTGTTTTAAGTCATTAGATTTTGGTTGTTTTTTTATAGACTGGATCATTTTGTAATGAAATATTTTTAATTTGAAGATAATATTTAAATTAATAAATCAGTACTTTGGGCATATATTCATAGCTATTCTTACAAATTTATCATTTGAATGTTGTATTTTGATAGAATTAAGTTGACCCAATGTGGTCATCAATACTGAATATTC